AAGGTAAACTGCACGTGTAATTAAAGCAACGCCATTTTATATTACCTTGCCTCTGTCAATAAAAATCAAGAATTTTGCTTCTACCGATAGCAGCCGCAGGTAAGACAGACAAAATGCAGGTATGCATTTAGCTCTATATATTCACATTTTAAATCATTTATGAGATAATCCTACAACAAAATAAATAAATAGGTATTGCAAATGTTTGTGTCTTGGTAATGTTAATCACTGCTCCATTAATACACAAGTGTGTCTATAGTAATTTACGTAAATAGAGGGGAATTTCACTGGCTGGTAAGTAGACATCGGAAGCGAACAGTCACGCAACTGGTATGGAAAGTATCTTTGCTTTCAGGGTTCCGTATATTAATATTCATAGCAAGCCAAAAAATTGAAATCAAATATTCATGGGGTCACCAGAAAATAAGTAGTTTTATTAAAAAGCTTTGAGATAAATTATTTTTTTCACATTAATCACAAAAAAAATGTTTCAGAGTTCAGTTTACACTCTAGTAAGTCAATTGAAATTTAAATATTTCCAAGAAAGTAGTCAACAAGATTGACATCGGGACATAAAGCCACATTGTGTTTTTATGCAATCAATGCTATAGAGAGAATAATAGAGGATAGAGAGCAAAATTGTTTTGTCAGGTATGTTGCTGTCGATAGTACGTTTCGTTCCACAGCGAATTACGACCCTCATCAATGAGGGACACGGCTGAAAAAATAACGCTCCAGTTTTATTTTCCGTTCGGATTTACTCACTGAAACCCAAATATGAAATGTTTAATGTCCACAGAACTGGATCTCTGGTAAACTTCCGAAAGTATTTTTACTTTCAACACAAAGGTATTTCAGTGAAGTAGATAAATCCAACGTCAAATAGGGGTTCAATTGCACACGGTGTCAGTGGGTCGGTGCAAGCAAACGTTCCGAGAAAAAGACTCGAGCCGCAGGGGACCGGTTCTGTCAGCACAATAGTAGGTGAGTAGTAAACAGTTTAAGCTTTCTTCATTTCCACTCACAGTCTGGCTGTTTACACGAGGTAGAAAGTCTAAAATAAAGCTGTAGCTAGTAACTTGTTATTGAGTTGGAAATTCATTGCTGAGATTAAAAATAAGAAGCAGCCGCCTGATGCTAACGCGCAGATGCCTGAACTAAGTGTTTACGAGAACATAACAAGAAGTGTATTTGGGTTGATAAATTGTAAGATTTCGACATGGGCGTACGTCGGCCGGTGTCCGATGCGGAGTAATCCTGGCCGACAGGCGCGGGCCGGCCCTGAAACCATCACCTACGGGAAATATTGATCTTATTTGAGCTTGATTAACTCAGACGTTGTCGGCGTGCTAATAATATCCCACCTCTGGCACTCGTCCAGCCGAGGCCTTAATGGTACTTCGATGCACGACAACTCTCAAAGGTGACACACTTGGTTTTGATACCGATTGATAACAATAAAAGGAGCATCAAAAGAACTGAAAAACATTGCGTCAAACACTATATTATACTGTTTTCGTAAAACATTCTTTCACGCATGACAGCCAATTGTTTCACCAACCAATAAAAATACTAAATTATTTGATCAATATCAAATTAAAATGAGCACCACGCCACAAAATATAACAGAAGACAAACTCCATACTAAACGCGCTCGAGCCACGCACACATAGACAGACACCGCTCGAGCAAGACTGTCTTGGACGAATGCGAGCGCGACGTGGCGCGACAGACAGACGTTCGCCACACGTTCCCTGTGGTTCGCTTGAGTCACGCGCCGGTCAACCGCCTGTGATATTATTTTGTTTTGCGCAATTGACGAAAATGAGTGAACAGAAAAAGTCGTATTTTAATTGTTCGGTATTTGGTTGCTTAAACTCATCATTGAATGCCGAATTTTCATTTTTTAAATTACCAGTTGATTCGGGGAGGTAAGTAAGTTATTTATTTGAATTTCAATTGAAATTGAAAGCCAACTCAATTATTAGGAATATCGAATTGTTTAGAGAGGTTTTAGGAATTATTAGATAACTAGCTTTTGCCCGCGGCTTCACCCGCGTGAAATTTAGTTTGTCACAGATCGTCATAAATTATAGCCTATATATTATTCAGGGTTATAAACAATAATACTGTAAAGTTACATCAAAATCCGTTCAGTAGTGATCGCGTGAAAGAGCAACAAACATCCAGACATCCAAACTTTCGCATTTATAATATTAGTTGGATAATAGTGTCAACCACTCAACTAAATACTACTTCCTTCTCTTGTATTTGTTTGCAAACTATTACTATAATAACGTACTAAATATAAATAAGTATACGTGGATATCTGTTATTGTCTTTCTTGCATAGTATTAAGAGTTACATTTTTCTATCATAACGAAATAAACGCAACACATGACAAGACAACCCTAGCGCGACGGCCGAGCGTGCGAGCGAGAGAGGTATGCAAAGCGAGGTACATACATGAGTTTACCTTCTGTTATATTTTGTGACCACGCGGAGCGGCGCAGCCATAAGAGACTGTGTACACTTACAGCATCGCACGGAACGCGAACCCATTTCAAACGTAAATCCCATCGCATTAGGCTCTACCGTTGTAAAGCTATCTTTACGGAAAATAAAGTATGAAAGGAATAACTTGCGTAATAATCTCAGGGTTTTATGATTACAATTAAATAAGCGGCAAATTACTTATTTCCGTATAAAGGGCATCCTTTTTAGGAGATAATTATGGTAATTTTATTGCCGACGCACCGCAAGTCTTGAAAATGTTAGATACATCGTAGTAGGTATTTTTTTATAAAAACTAGGACATAAAAAATACTTTTAGTCTTTGGCAAAGCAAAATGAGACACTTGTGTTCATTAAGTTTAGGCCTACTAGATTTGAAATTACATTAAAACTTTTTACTAGACGGTCTGAAAGAGATGATTTTAGAAGAATGATATCACAGATAATATTATGAATTTATGATGGAACTTTCAGATACTTTCTCACTAGCCTACATGGAACAATTTTAATTATCGTCCTAAATAAACATTTAAACATCTGATGATACGAATTCACAGAAAACTTATGAAAACTCGAGTGTATCATAGTTGTGCTCGTATCTACAATACCACATAAAATAAAGTTGATAATATTTAGCATCTGGAATAACTATATCATTATGCAGAAATATCTAAGATTTAAGACGATATAAGATGTCTTAAATCCATCCCACTTTTTTAGCTGAAAGACGAACAAAGAGAATACTAAAATAATTATTCAAAGCGCCCAACCACGTTTTCCGCAATTCCAAACGGGTAAAAATAAGCAAAACCGAGCGATTGCGATCACATCGCATCGCAATGTCCCGGATAAGTTTTTTATTGTGGCCCCTTAGAATGAAATTTCTTTTGAAACATCGTTAACAATACCACGTACTTGAAATTGAAATAAAAGTATAGGGGTTGTTATAACAACGAATAAAAGAGTATCGTATATGACTGCCATTAAAAAAAGTAATATTTTTGGATGTGTCCGGTAGAAAAAATTACATGCTATCAATATTCTACAAGAGCGTGAGACATCATGGTTAAAGCACATTGTTTGAAAACAATTCATCAGTCAGCACTTTATGTAACAGAGTAAAGGGTACAGATTCGCTTGAAAAGTAAGTTCGATAAAAATTTGATAACTTAGAACGCAAAGCACGCGCCTCGCACTAGTCAAGCCAGGCGTCAATGCCATGGGTTGCCACAAGAACGCCCGAACACAGCGCATTCTGGAAGTTACCTACTTAAATGTAAGTAAAATCTCTCGAATATAAGAGATTCTACCATCTACTTAATTTTTACCACAGTGAAATGATAGAGAAGAAAACATACAATAGGTTGGTTCAGATAATAACCAAACAATAGCGCCAGACGATTGCTATAACATGCCAACTACATACTAGAGAATGTAATTAATTAAATTATAATTATCTATGTAGTAGTTGTACACAACGTTTATTAAGATCAAAGCATTCCATACTGTCACAATTATGCCAGTGTCTGTCTAGCCTACATCAATGCCATGCTCCGTTGGAAGCGTTTAATTTTACATGGGTTATGATGATATTGTCGTGAGAACATGCGTGTAATTAGAAAATGATGTCGATATCTCTACTTGCAATTCGAAATTCTGATTTCGATATAAAAGTGTATCGACTGAGTCCCGTGATTTATACTCGCGATGATTGTCTCCATTGTTATGAAGACACGTATTTCAGTAATTAGTCGGCGACTCAAAATTCGTACTTCTGAGCCTTCGTTAACGATATCTCGTTTGACCAATTTATAAGTATTTTGATAAAATGAGAGTTCATCTTATTATAATTTCATACTACAGTTAAATGATAGTATCTACCTTTATAGAAGCAAAATAAAATACGAATAATGTCTAGGGTGTTGCAAATAAACAAGAAAGATTTCGAAGTAAGATACGTGTGTAATGAGTACCTATGCATGTTTTTCTATATTAATCTTAAGGCCAGAAAATGCATTGTGCAATTAAACTAAATAATTGTTAAATAAAAACACGCTTAAGAAGTCCAGACACCTAGAAACAATACGAGTAAAAATATACTTTTCAACCGACTTCAAAAAAAGGAGGAGGTTCTCAATTCGAACCGTATGTTTTTAATGCAAATTCTTTTATTACTTTTTTATTTTTCTCTTTGAGCTAAACTTTTTAGATTTCGTGGAAACTTTTGAACGTGTCTTGACTATTGACGCATATGAGTAACAAAGAAAATTATCTAACCATGAATGGCACGATCTGAGACTAGTCCAGCAAGAGACATTAACAATCAGCATCATCTACATGTATCACATTAATAATTGCATTTGCAGGCATGTTAAAATGAATGAGATCATTTTTACGAAGATAACAGCTGGTGGTCATTCATACATGTGAAGCTAGTATGATGTGGTTTATAGCATACACATGCTGAAAAAGTAAACGATAAATACCAGTAGGGTTGGTGTTCCTGTATCGATGACATTGCCGTTACTCACCTGTAACAAACACAAAAAAAAATAATAAGTACCTATTTCTTTCATTAATTTTAGTTTATTTGTAGTTAGGTATAATTAATTAAACCTAGGCTGAGTTGCGCCACCTTATTTTAACTGTAACAATAACATTAACCGGTGCTTTTTGTATGGAGTTTGACAGATTTTTGACGTTTGTCAAAGTTAAAGTAAGATGGTGCAACTTTCCCTAAGAAATCACAATAAACGTCAACATACTGAAATTCCAAATAACATTATTAGCTTGTTGAAAAGAAATGCACAAGCGTGCGTCTTGTCATGAGAATATGTGTAGTGATAGTTTATCGAGTCGAGTCAAGGAAAATTGAATGATTTATGTGAATTATTTTAACTGCACACGCAAACTTAATATAACCCGCTGGCAAATTCTGAGTAAACATGTAAATTGGATCGCTTTTATTACAACTCGTGTGTTAATGTGTGTAGCGGTGGCGATGTCACGCGTGCGTGCGGGAGCGTGTTGCGTCCAAGATAAATGGCAGAGGATCTGTGACAGCCGTCAGCGGATTGCATTAGGGCTGGTACCGGACGCCCGCGGCCGCCAGACAGCGTAAGGTGACGCACTAATGTTGTCACTCTGTCACGGATTGCAATTAACGCGGGTCGTCCCCATTAAGCTACATACTCGTATTTACAGTAGCTGAATGTTGTACGATTGAAAGAGCAATCCGAAAAATCTCACCCTTGTCACTCACCCATTACGTATTAAAAGGGAATTGTATTGTATTTTTTGTTTCGCAGCGAATCATCCCTTTTGTGAGCCCTAGAATCATGTACTCAACAAAACATTTTATAGTGTTTTTATGAGTTCCCAGGGGTGATATACTGCTATAATGTTTAATTTATGGTTGTGTGTGTTTTAACACAAGAACGTCGCATTGTAGTAAATGTCCTATTTTTTGTCCGTTTTGTCTCTGGAGAGACATTGTCTTGTCCTTTTCTTAACACAAGGGATTGGGTATAAGTACCAATTTTTGGACTTTAAGAAAATTGTACTCTATACTTATTCTATTGTTACCAACAACAAAGCATTTCTATTAAATTTTGTTACTATGAGCAGACGCTCATGTCTACTCAACAATAGACATTTTGTTAGAAGATTTCACAGTATTTTGTTTAAAATATTTCAGAAAAGGAAGACACTAGTTAAACACCAAAATTGGATGTTGATTATGGTTACAAAATTATTCAATAATTATAATCTAATGTCTATTGTAGGTACATTTATGCACAGAGTAGCTACTGGTCTTCAAACTTACGAAGCACAGCACAACGGGTTTCGTAGTAGGTATCTAAACAATCTACGGCAACTTAAATGATAGGTAGGTAATATTAGTTAACTCGATATAAAAAAAATCATCCTGGGTTTCGCTTGCCCATAATGATACAGCCAATAAGATGCACCGAGCCGTAGTACGGAGGCACGATGGTCGCCGACCGCGCTGCGATCGCGAAGCGAACATCGGCGCCGCTGGCACGCAGCCAAATATTTTTCATGTGCCGCGCCCGCCACCGGGATAAGTCGCCCTATTCACCTGAATCGGTACCCGTTTAAATCTGACCGCGATCGCGATGCATAGTGAAGAGCTCAACTAAAATTTCAATAGTATCATTTATTTATAAGCTCAGCTTAATAGCAAACGAAAAGAACAATAGAAGATTTATTTTCCATATTGTTTGCTTACATTTAATCATTAACTGTCAAAGTAGCTCCTCAGCATCCTCAACCAACGACTTAATGTGATTGTACCCGTAATGTTTACTCGTCTAATTAACAAGCTAATTATCGGTCACGAGTAAACTATGACGCGTCACAAGGGTCACTTGGGGCAGTTATAATTAAGATAGGACTAGTAAATGACATTATTATCAGTGACCAATGTCTCTTGCAGTAATTCTCAGTAAAGGTATTAATAGGTAGTTTCATAGGCGTAAAATCAGTCGGTAGACGAAAGTCAAGGGACATCGGACTGGAAAATATCATAGCGTGTTGTTTTTGTATTTTCTACTTGTTAAAGAAAACATTAGTCAGCGTTAAAACATTTAAATAATTAAATCGAAAAACAATGTTGTTAAATGTTTGTAAATATTATTATCATTTATTAATAGTCGGTCATCCAAATCAATTTTATAAGTAGTTTTTTCCCTAACAACATTGTTTAGTCTCTGATCTTAGATACGTCAGTTACTTTACATTCAGTAAAATGGAAATATTTCTACCAATCGAATATTCGTAGCAATACATTAAGACTTGAACAAAAAAGTTAGCACTAGAACGATTTTTTACACAGTTGCTGCGTTTGTTTGCCAATAAATCGCAGAATTTACAATATATGGTTGGATATTACATTATACATACTCGTAGAACTCCATCTACTGAAAAATGTAAACAAACTTAACGTTACGACGTCAGACGAACCTTATTTACGATTATACTCGTAACGTGTCTGGTTCGTTAATTAAAGAATGTCAGATTGCAATAAGTTTTCCATTTTTAAATAACATTCCTGTTTACGCAGTCTTGGGAACTCTCCGCTCGAATTCGCACCCTACTGAATAAACAGCTGCATCCATTCCATGCGTCACAAAAAATATCCTACCTACTCAAACAGTCGTAATATTTCATGTTCAACATTTGTACGCGGCAGCAACAAAGAAGCGAATAACTCACATCAGGCTCCTAGTTAAACTAACTGAGCCGATTTGGAATCCAATATGCAATACATCTCCCTTAGATTCCCTATCGGCAAAATAGGCCCAACCCTTTGACGCAGGAAAGCTATAATTATGACCACAAGTCACGCTGATCAAACGCAAACGTATACAATAACTACTGCTGTGATTGGGTGGCGTGTGTTCTAAAGCAATCACAGCCACAGTAATATTATAACAGTTCAATCTGATAATCCATGAAGTATCAATGGATTAGAATTAATAGACACGAATTATCTATAGTACACATCTCTATGTTATTAGCTTTTAATTACTGCTGAGGCTGACCTCTAAAATAACGACTGGAACATTAATATTGTGTAGCATAAACAAATAAATTAACTGCACGTTACACTTCTTATCAAGAAATGAAAGGATGTTTATAAAAATAACAAATAAATCAATACAAGAGAAAGTGATAACTTCAAGACGTTATCTATTAAGACAGAACAGTCATATGATTAAGTTCATTGTAACTGTTTGTGTAATGAAGTCCACTTTCCATTGCTCGCTCCATTGCTTGCGTGTTGCTGCGATCGTACAAAGTGAAAAATAGGGGCCGCAAATGGAGGCGTTACGACCAACTCAACCACTTGCTCGCAACTGGTTCGCCTTCACATACCAAATGACTAGGAGATCTACTATATTTCTAGTATACGTCATGATAATATTACATCAATATAATATTCTTACAAATACCTCACTTTATAGCTGCCGCAGTGCCATTATACTTAATTAGGCTGTTGTTAGTAAGCGATGTAATATCTCATTTAAAGATTAGAGGAATGTAATATGATTTAACAGCATTAACTGCTCATTTCTAATTACCATTTTATACATTTAAGTAATTATAAGAACATTAAAATGCATGTTAATGACATTCACAGACAAACAAGTTAATGACACTATCTACAGATAGGTATTTACAACCAAAGTGCGTCAACGACAAGGGTTTAATGGATAAATAATATGGCCCACACAGGCATACATTTATGTGTCTTGCCCTGCACTGCTAGTTAAAAAGTATCATTCACGGCGGAATAAACAAAAGCGAATACTAACAGACTGGAGTTCATTCAAGGCCCATGAGTATGGAAACATTGAAAACGCTTCCTTTCACTACGAAGTTTTTTGAAGCGAACTCGGTCGAGCGTACGGATGCAATCAAAGCTCGCTACCAGTGAGTGCACAAGCTCTATCAAACACGGTTAACAAGGGGCTAGCCATGAACTACAAACACAAACCAAACTTATTTAATCAGCGCAGTATCGATAGATAGATGGTTATTCATTTGTCGTTACAATAGATACTAATACGAGTATCATCGAAGAAACAAAGGTTAAGCGACAGACAGCAAATACCTTCATTAAATTACTCGTCATTAGCTATTGTGATTGTGAAACGTATGACGGTTACAAAGAATAGCAATCCTATAGATAAGCGTGACCTCGTTATCGGTTATAAACACGCAACCCACGAGTCAATAATCGCCGAGATACAGGAAGGAGTTTACAGCTCTTTACAATAAACAGATCAATACCAAACATGGCAATGCAGGGACGTACCCTTTTGCTATTTACAGCGTCGCCGTACCTGGTCTCTATTAACACGTAGTCCCAAGGGTCCATGAGCAATAAAAAAATTACACCAGAACCGTTAGACGACAGGCATTTCATTGCAGGCTTTCACGAAAGCTACGTATTTTAGGGCCAATTTATGGGCATCATTGTCCACTAGTCTCTACCTCACTGCCTGCAAAATAACCTTCAAAAGAGAGCTTTATAATCTCGGTTTGGTTTGGTCTTTCTTTTGTTTGTCGGGTTTCTACCCGACCGAAATGCTACCTAGAACCTCTGAAATAAGTACTCCATGCAATAAAACGCCGTAAAATCAAATGTTCAAAGAATTACAAAAGTAATTTACCGTATCTAGCAAGCATCCTGTACCCAATTTAAATTAATTAATAAATATCATTTATTTTGTAGGGTCCATGACTTATAAAGAATTCATTTAGAGATCGCCATTAAAAAGTTTGCGCATAAACTCGGCAGTTAATTACAGCTTCTGCTGAAAATTATTAGTACATAATTGATTCTTCATAAATCCTTAAAAAGTAGAAAAATCACATTTCATTTCATTCACTCATTAATAATGAGTAATTATTACGAATTCTGGAAAGTCGTTCGGGTTATTAAATGCGCGAAAACTTCACAAACACGAAAAGCTAATGGACTCTTTAGTTAAAACGAACT